AGCCATCGACTTCCCGATCCCGGGCGTCCCAATCAACAGATGCTGCTTGGGCTCAAAGTAGGCCCCAGGGTCAGGGCCGAGCAATTCGGTTAGATCATTCCTGACGGTCCGTCACACTCGCTCCACCTCACAGTTCACATAGCAGTCACGAGTGGATTTATTCTCCCTCCTTCCGTTCCCACGAGTACGGCCATGCCTTGTCCGAGGTGAGCACCATCAGCCTGGGACGCGGTGCACCGGATTGCTGCACACCGTCATCCTTTTCGAGAGTGTTGCCAACTGCCTTGTACGTCCATGGCTGCGGTGGTTCCCCCTCCCTCACATCCATTCCCGTCCCCTCGCCGTCAGTAACTTCCACGACATGGCTCCACCTCGCATTGTACACAGACTCGTAGAATCCCTCCAGCACGTACATCCTTCAGCCACCTTCGTTGAATTCCGCGCCAGAGAGAAGACTATTTATTATCCTCTTCCGCGTGAGAATCGATTATATACCTGTTTTCGTATTTGGGTTGAGTTAAATCTAAACACTAACCACCAAGCAAAAAAAGGAATAAGAGTAAGAGACAAGGGTCACAGACATGACTGACATCCTCAGCAAGAGAATCATCCACACAGTTTGCGATACATACCACATGCACGAGGACCACCGCAAAGACGGCGAGTGGGTGCCATCCACCCAGCACAGTGTTGGAGAGGGCAAACAACAACAACGTGGTGCGCACGGAGGGTTCGCCCACGCATACCGCTCGCCACGGTCCCGCATCCGTGTGTCACCGCCGTCACCGCACACACTCCACAAGAATAGATGCGCGCGTGCATATCGTCCTTAACAAACACACACAGAAACAAGTGGGAAGAGAATTCGGTAAAGCAGCGGCCACATGCAGGGAGCACAAATCATACACGCCACAACAGCGGCGCATCATGGTAAGCTCCCGCACAGGGAAAATATATTTATATATGTATATATTTTTCATCAAAAATTTATGAAATTCGCACAGCACAAAAAAGCCATGAGGCTGCCTTCAATATTGCATTCGCCGTTCATATTCTCAATGCGTGTCCTTCAGATAATGCCACTCCATGGTGAAAGTAAATGCCTCGTTGTGGTGTCACCGCGCAGCCATCCGCCTGGGTGGGAAAAAGAAGAAAATCAGGCGTCCGTCCACCTGGAGGGAGAAGGGAGTCCACCGCAGTGTCTTCCACGACGCAAACACTCCGCATCCAGTGCCCAGTTTCGTGTGCAGACTCCGCGAGGAGGTTTTGGGCACGCCGCTGTGCCACACGGTGTGACCCCCTCGAAACGCAACAGCAGACATGTCCCCTTCCGGTCGCACTCGTGGCGGCGGCGGCATACGCTGCCTCGCTGCGTGCTGGTGACGTCGACTACGATGCTGCAGTGTGATAGAGGATGCCCGACAGGAGCGGTGCTGGGCTGGGTGGGCAATGCCCTCCGCGGCGAGACACACAGCGCGACTGCTGACCGCTGCACTCACGCACTTCCCTCCACTCCTCTTTCTCCATTCGGCAATCGCACAGCCGCCAGCACATTGTCCCCGAAGCAACACACACGTAAAAGCGTCGTAGCATATTCCCCGAGTGCACAAAGTGACAGCCAAACGCTGCGGCCATCGTGCCGACAGGTGAGCCCCCGGACAACTTTGTTTTGGGGCCACGCACCCCCGCAGGGGTCACCCACAGCAACGCACAAAAGTGCAATCAAAAACATTCACCCACCGTCACAGCAATCGCACAGGGGATGAGAGCCACGGCGCACTCTCACTGCCTCTCTCACTCTCCTGTCCACGGAAAAAAGCAGAAACCACAAGAAAACTCAGGCACCGTGAAAAAAAAAAGCGTCCGCCTGCAGCAAAATGTGTACACCGTGCGTTTCTGTGTGTGTGTCTGTGCCTGCATATACGCAAAGAAAAAAAAAGGCACAAAATTAAAGCAACACAAAACCCGCAAAAGACGTGCCAGAATCAAAAAAATAATAATACTGAGAATTTTAATTATACAGCAGCCCAAGAACCCCCAGCAAAAAAAAAAAATAAATAAATAAAATAAAATGGTCAAACGTTTATTTGGCGGTATATATACACCTCTCCTCTATTCCTACACACAAAAGCAAAACGAAATTACATCCTAAATAAATTAAATAACACTTCGGACTAAAAACCCATCAAGCAAAAAAAAAAAAAAGCAAAAATTTAATTCCTTCAAAACTTACACTCCACTTTACTTTGACCCATTGTGAATTCGCAAATTGACACTATTCCGCGCCTTCGATGTGTGTCGCCTCTCCACACAAATAACAGTGCGTTGTGCAGTGGTAAGAGACTGAAAAAAGTAAAAAACAAACTGCCCTCGCCACCCTTCAGGCGGTGTATTATCAAAAACACAAGCCATGTAATGCATGAGGAAAATAAGTGCCAAAAAAGGCGCCCACCAATTGTTTAGCTTCATCTTATCACACATTTAGTAACGACTTCTTAAACCAAATAAAAGCTGTTTTCCCTCACGTGTTACCCTTCAATCAGCAAAATTTGAAAAAAATTAAACAATTACGGAAAAGACTTGCAGGAGAAAAAAAAAAAAAACAACGGAACAACGGTCTGGTGGTCTGAGACAAACCCGATGCATACATATGAAGTGGTTTCCGGGCGGCTTGCGAATGAGCGTCCCTTTCGAGCCCTTCCCCCAATGGCCCACGACCCCGCAGCAAGGCGGGCCCGAGGGAGTGGGTGGGGTGAAAAATGAGAATTGTCTCGCCCTCCAACGCGGCTCAACCACGACGCATCTGCAATCCACCGGAGAGAAACCAAAAAGTGCAAACAAAAAAGAATTACAGGTTTCCATTTAAATAGGGGATAATAGAAGGGGTTGCACCATCGGACGCAATCCTTCCATAAGCTGTTCAATACATCAAGGTACATCGCGTACACAGTTTTATTGTGCGGACCACACAAAGCATGGCCACCGCAAAAAATTATTTACTAAGCTGAAGGGCCAACCATTCAGGATTGAGAACATCGTTCAACGAGCAGACTTCAGGAAAAGGAATCGTTTTTGCCTTCCGATCAGTGTCGTATATTTTCACAGTGGCATTCTGCACAAAATCCCTGGTCTCATTCATGACGTCAGGGGAATAACGCAGCCAGTCCACCCACGTTGTGCGGTTCAGCAGTGTAGGCATTTTGTCCCACAAGTAAGGGGGCCCGGGAAAGTGGTACAACGCCGGGGACCCAAAGGCCCCGGAACGCGGTGTGAGAAAGAAGGAGTTGTTGTAGTCAAGACTCAGAAGACCATATCGTATGCGGAAATCGGCAGTCACATTCGTGTCCCGGGTCACGCTCCACACATGCAACAGCGACCAGATGCTCTGGTCACACCACCATTTATCACTCGTCGCCAAAAGGCTTGCATATGCTTTGTACGCCTCTCGAAATGCCCACACACGCCCCACCATTCCTCCACCAGCAAGGAATCGGTACCCCGACGCCAGAAAACGCACCATGCGCTGATCCGCAGAGGACTTGGCGGCTTCCCATACACGTTCGTAGTACCAAATGCATTTCGCAAAGATTTCTGGAGACCCCCATGGGACCATGAGTTCCATCTGTGGCGCATAACAGACCGGGTCACTCTCAAACAACAAGGGGGCTGTTGCCTCACCTCGATGCACCGCCGTGGCGTTGAAGGCGTCTGCGGTGGGCGCTGTTGTTGCCACAAAGTCCTCCACGGCCTGCTTTATCCCAAGGGGTCCGGTGAACATCGTGTCGCCACCATCGAACACCACCACCACGTCCTCATCGCGCAGGCCCTCGTCAGTTATGCAGTCCAGCAGCAACGACGGGCGGGATGTGTGTGTGTAATTCGCCCCCATGCCAATCGTTGTTACAGACACGCGGGAAAGAATGGAACTCACCTGCATCCTGCACCAGCCGGGAGAGTAGCCCGTATGAACAACAATAAGAGCAACCCTTGGCTCCCGCGTTGGAGAGGGTGCAGACGCGCTGCAGTACACAGGGATGGAGGGAAACTGCCACACATCTGTGTCTATCGTCAATGAAACAAAATTAAGCAGAATCAACAACACAACAGCAGTCCAGAGCAGCACCTGGCAGTAGTGCTTGCTCAATGCTCTGAACAGCGCGGCGAGAGATGCAGAAGAGCGCATTGTGGATATTGGGAGCTGAGAAGTGGTGAAAAGTTCTCCTACGAGAGTAACAAGAGCAGCATGGGACAAAAGACACATCGATTATGGGAGTGGCAGTAACAGCATGCGGTGCCCATTGTCAGCCTCCACACAAACAGTCATGACAAACGTGGCGTGGGTGGGTGTGGCGCCACCAGCACCGCCCCGTGGCAATCACGTCCTCAGGCAGTGTCTACAAAGATAAACTGTGTGTGTGTCCGTGTGTGTGCTCCCCGTTGAGGCCTACGGGGTTGGCACGCCCACACACCGTGCTGCAATTCCGCCGGTGGATACGTAGGGAAACACAAACACAACTGGACGACAAAACACCCACGCCGCCACAGCATCAGGTATCCAAAAACTATCTCACGAGTTCAAATGGCATGTACACACTGCCACCAAAAGCAGATGTTCCGGAATCCCCATAGCCCCCCGCATCGGAGCGCAAACAAATGGTGCCGCTTAAGAAAAATTAAAGAAAAGATCGTGAAGACACCACCAGCTGCAGAGAGCCCCGCTGTGCCATGGTTCGACACGTGCGTCGTCAACACGCCACCTCATGAGCAAAAGAGAGCGGAGACAGGACCTTTTAAATGCCGCAGACCCAGCACCACAGAAAAAAGTAAGAAAAGTACGCCCTTTGGCGGCAGGAAACCCGCTGCGAGGCATTTCTCTTTTCACACCCTAATTATAGCTGAACGCTGTAAAGGCTGCCACAAATTTAAACAATAAAATAGGACTGCAAATAAGGACTGACAAGAACAATGCATGGCCGTAAGAGTCTTCTCTGCAAGTATACTCACACTGCTACGTGGGAAATGCGGCAAACTCCCTGCCCTTCACACACACGCATCCCCTGCATGTATGCTCCACCGCGCAAAAATACAACTCCAAAAAGCGCAAAATATAAAAAATACATACAAACCACAAAGCAATCCACAACGGCGAACTGTGTGTCTCTGTGTAACACAAGTGACGACAAAAGGTGTTTGAGCACATTAAAAACAATAATAATAAAACACGCGTAGCATATATATATATATATATATATATATGTGGCACAGCCAATTTCTGCTTCGAGCACCACGCCAACGGCATCGTGAGATGCGTATGTGGGAGCACCGCTACTCAAAGCACAGCAATGTCCAGCCGTGCAAAATAGGGGTCGTTTGTCAAGAACGTCGCTTTCCATAGCCCGCCGACATTTTGTCCATGATGTAAGAAAGCAATACAAAATACTCATGAGATAAAGATTCATAAAGCATGGGCTGTAGCAAACCTCGGTCGTGTGTCTCGGTGTATGCCCTTTTTTGCCGTTTTGTTGTGGGTAAAACTTTTGTTGGCTGCAGAGTAACATTAGAAGGGCTTCTGACAACCCCCAAACGGTTCATCAGCCCTGCCGGGAGCCTCGGTGGGCATAGCGAGGGTTGCCGGAAATAATTTTTGGTCGGCCTATCTGACAGAGTAGGCATAACATTGGATCTGTGCTCATTGCTGAGTTTGGCTGCAAGTGCAACAGTAAACGTATGCGCCGCATCAATCACTCCAAACGCCTTCGCAAGCCGCTGCTAAACGTCCTTATTACTGTTTGGCGGCTCTTTCAGACCTTGCGCCGCCTCCGGCTCCGGGAGGCTCTCAATCACCCAAAAAAGAAACCGACATCCATGCTGCGCCTGCCAACAAAAAATAAGCTCACGCACATCCTGGATGCAGCAGGAGGACAATCCAGTAAGACATGCACAGCAACGTCGCAAGCGCCACTCTGCTGGACGGTAAAAAGCTCTTCCAAAGCCCGTGTTATTGCACCGTCGCGCGATACGTCTGCAACTGCGTCCCAATGACAGCTACAATCCTGTCCGGGTGACGCAGGGCACTTCCCCAGACGATGGGTTAGAACCACAATGCCTCAAAACAGAACTCCTTGCACGGAGCAAACGTAACGCGGCACGTGACGTTGCTTGACTATTCAAATAATGAAGCGCCTCCTGCCCTTCCGCTACCAGGGCGTTTGATGGCACACCTTCTACCC